TATTCTTGTTCAAGCTTTTATAAATTCAATGTCACTACCTTCTCCTGCGCACCCCACCCCCACGCAAGCAGGGGCTGGGGCCTGGCCACAACCCCTCTGCTCTAGCAGGGCTTTCTCCCTTCCCTTCCCTTCGGCAGTGGCTGGCAGGCATCCTCTAGTGCCCCCTGGCTTCTGGCTTGAACCAATGCAGGCATGTGGCTGCATTTCCTGAATCAAAAGTGAATGTATATTAATTTGCTTATTGTTTCAATCTAGGCAGCTTAGACTAACCTGCAAAGACTGAATCAATTCAGCCACATGCTTTTTGATTATCTGTATTTAGCCCTATTGTGTTACAGATTTGAACCAGTTTCCAATCGCTTATACCAATTTATGTATAATTTCTGTCCCTAGCCTAAGTGGTTAAAAGCATTATAAAAAGTGAATGGACTGACAATGCCAGGGCACAACAACTACAAATCTGCCTCAAATCATTTAAGAAATTACCCTAATTGACACAGGAATAACTCTGAAGAGTTTCAGGTTACGTCTATTCTCCCCACAACATCTTGTGCACTCCCTATTAAAAAGGAATTTTTAAAAGCACTTCCGAGGAAAGGTGCAACAGAAAGTCATACACTCAGGTTGTTATCTAGTACTTTAATTCTTAGAGGACAATGACAAAAGAAAGACAGCAGAATAAAAGGAGCAAAATTTGCCATTAAGTAAATAATACCTTTCCAAGTATCAAGTCAGTCAGTCCAGACTTTTTTAGGAAAACCGCAGCATCAGAAGCCAACACTCTTCCAGTGTTAGCAGTATCAACCTGTAGAAAAGGATTCACCACGGATTAGCTATCTGCATTGCTCCTATACATCTCTGTAAGAAGCTACCAGAGAAGATTATTCTTATATTAATGATGATTACATTTTTTAACATATTTCTCTAGTATTTTACACTAGAAGAAACCACGCAGTAGAATGCCACAATATTTAAACATTAATATTTTGATTGGACTACGTCTGTGTGTGTACAACAAACCAAGTTAAAACAAGGGGCCTAACATAATTTGTTCATGCCAATTTTTTATTACTTGAATGCTATCAAAGATGTACAAGAAACCATATACCTTAATAGTATATTCCCCCATGGTGAAAACACATCCATTCCAGTTGTTTACACATGCATTTAGCTGTATTATATTCATATTAAACATTGTCAACCAATTAAAATAAAATCTTAGCTACATTTAAGATATTCAGCATACATCTTCAGCCTTATCTCAGTACAAGTAACATTTATGTATAATTATTAAAAAATTCTGAATTAGCTTTCTATCACATCTACCAGACCTTTATTAAAAAGATGATTCCAAATAATATTCTAAGCAACACACTTATTGACTGGAAGTCAACTAGGGTAGCTCTAGAGTCTGAAATACTGGTCAGCTGGTATCTCTTTTCTGAAGTCCCAAGATAATCATTTATCTCATCACTTATAGAAGCATTTAGTGATGTTTCAAAGGCTGTTTACAAGTTAGTAACTGAACTTGCCACATGTGTGGTAAGACAGGCAAAATGCTTATCCACAACTACAGACACTCCCTTGCAATCTTAAATGTGACAGAAAGTAACAACTCCCACATCAAATTAATTATCTACAGGGGTTTTCAACCTTTTTGGATTGGTGTACCCCCGGCAGCCGGATGTGGAGCCGGGGGGGGGGGGGGGGGGGGGGGGGTGGAAAGCAGGGTGGTGCACAGCTGAATGTGGAGCAGCAGCAGCCACCGCATACAAGCTTTCCCTGCCCCCTCCATCTAGTTGAGCGGGTAGCATCTGCATGGCAGCACAGAATGGAGCATGATGCGCTCCATCCCTGCTTGCACGCACGTACCCCCGGGCGTGTGCATACCCCCCGGTTGACAACCCCTGATCTATAATATGAAAGTAACTGGTACTGAGCATGCCCAATCCCACTGTAATTACATGCTCAACAACTAAAAATAAAGGCTGTTGAGCAACTGTCAAATTAAAAAAAAAAAGAAAGAAACCTATATTCAATAGCACACTAATAACAGCAGCTCTAAACAATGTACATGTGTAGATGATTGATAACCACATCCAAGGTACCTAAAGGGTCCCTATTACAATACTATGTGAGCACTACAACAAAATCTTAAGTCCCTATGACAGGATGTCATCTGAAGGACTGAAGAAGCAAAGTATTTTAGCCATTTCTCATATTGGAAAGAATAAACTCAAAACAGTATGTTGCTTTTATTCTTCCAGATGAAATTACTTTAATTTCTGTGAAGGGCAACAAAGGCTGACAAATCAAATTATAGATGTGTGACTACAGAAATTCAAATTGAGAACATCAACATCTTTTTTTGTTCTCAAACTTTGGACCCTCAAAAACCCAAATTCATGATCAACTGTTCATCTGAGACCTAACTAAAATGTACTTCAAATAGGTAAAAGTACTGGGAGAATTGAAAGAAGTGCAACTTTCAGGGAAGCATTATCAAGTTGGCTCAATTGAACAAACAATGCTCTCCTGTGCGCACACTTCTGCAAGGCAACAAAATCCCTCAGGGGATCATTAGTTTGGAAGAAATTTAGAAACCTCCAGATGTGTGACTTAATGTCACTGAGTCCAATTTTCAAATTTAGATGTATACCAGGTAGTATAGACACTTCTGTAAAAAACAAGTTGTGTTGTATAGATAAAGTAGCATGTCGCTATTTATTTAAAAACACAACTATTTTCCCTGCCATGGACTGCAATGCCCTGAAAAACTCTACAGAATGTGACAGCTATGAAAGAATTTAAACAGAGGAAACAGATGTAGTGACAGGACCCTTTTCCCTTCTACTACTCTTCAAAGAGAAAGAGCCTAATCAAACAACATTCAAATAAATGAACTTGAAGGGAAGTCAGAAACACATGTGGCATTCATACCTTGATGTTTCAAATCAAAGCTTCTCCAGTGTTATAAAAAGATGGCTCCAGACTCTAGAGCCAAGAACACATTGAGTAACCCCCAAAGGCTTCTTTTATTCAGTTATTTAAAATGACTTGAGGTTTACTATTATGTAGTTGCAGATTATTATTATTTGTGACGTTCTCTGGAATAGATTGAGAATGGCTAGTATGAATCTATGCTAGGACAGTTTGCTAGGAAGCATTGCTAGCATGCTATAACTTCTCCAAGTATTTTGCCTTCAACGGGAAGCATCATCTATAATCTTCCAGATTTTTTAAGCCAAGAATATATGATTAGCTTCCAAAAGGAACTGGACAACCTTCACTGTTCAACACGATAGACCATTTGAAATATTCAGTGTATACATTTGTATACATCTGATAAAAGCTTGCATAAAGTGCCCTCAAGATTCAACATTTGGAAGGTACTCTCTATCAGGTTGTAGTTCCACTTCTGGAGGTACTTTTTGATCGTAGTAAAGGTATATAGATGACTTCTTTATTTACTTCTTTTACCAATTCTTTAAAAATAAAGAAGCAAACAAATCTCAACAATTAATTGCCTTCCTTTAACTGCAGTTTCACTTACCATACCTTTTACTGAATGGCCTTTTTGCAAGTTTATGGCTGCCTTTCCCCCAACATTTCTAAATAAATTGGGCTGGCCTGATGAAAGAGGTGCCTATACTAGATACAACAACACTGTCAAGGCTCTTCCATTAAGCTCAGTTACACATGCAATAGACACTGTTTTTAACTTAGAACTAGTGAGCCTAGCATCCATTCAGAAAAAGCTTGTTGGATCAGGTTTTTCATTCTTTCAGGAATATCCAGAGTCAGCAGAGACTATTTTTAACAATTTCAACTTCATCCTCTGCAACTCCTCAGTCACCATCATAAACAGGCATCTGTTATTAGTGGAGCAAATTCAAATACTACTAACTTCACGTTCCACTGATTTAACGGATTAAAAAAATAAACAAACAAAAAATACCTTGGCTTTTCCTTTCAGTTAATCTACAGACAACTGAACAATTATCCATCAAAACTATACAAGTCAAAATCAACTACTAATCAATTACTAATCAAAAAGAAAAAGGCCCAGAAAAAAAGCTAAAACACACATAGTACTTTCATTTTTAATGCAGTAGTTTTATATAGTCATTTTTAAGAGTTCAAGTTCAAATTACTCTAAAAGGGAAGTGATCCTATTACACCTGTCTTCTGTATAATTCACTGACTCCAAATTAGAGTTGTGTGACAGGATATTCAAAACACCACTAGTTTAAGAATGGGGAACAGAGAATAATTATGATGTTCATGTCTCTTCTGAAGTACAGACTTGTCCTACTTCAAAAGTAAGATTCAATCAGAAAGCAGGTGAAGTCTCAAATCAGTGGGTAAAAAATTAGGAAACCAACAATACTGGGATTTTTTTATCTGAACTATTGTTTGGGCTTGGCAGTAAAATTATCAGGATGTATTGATCTGGTAAACACAAGTGTGCAGATAATCTCTTCTGTCCTCGTGAACTCTATAATATGGGAGTCTCCCAATTAACCGACTACTGTACATACACTGAAGTGGACACACCCTGTATTTATCATCCAGACCATGGTGCTACCTGCATTTCTCCAACTGGCCTTTTGCACTGCATGCAGGATGTGCCAGCCCTGGCCCAGCACACAGAGCCTGCCTGGCGAGTACTTCACACAGCATGCAGGGCCAGACCTGGAGCAGAGGCTCTATGTGGCACCCACACCAGAACAGCCCCACATGCTAGATCTGAGGCTCATCTGGATTTGGTCCACAAGCTGGGCCTGCAAACTGCATGCAACACTGTACTATCCAGCCTGCAGACTGGCCCCAGCACCCCTCTAAGTAAAGTATGATCTAAAACAGCTGCTACTTGACTCCGCCCAATCCAGAAAAGGTGATATGATCTCCAGTGCATGTTATAATAAAAAAAGTGACACCAAGTCAAAGATCAAGTTCAATTCTGAATACACTAGATGAGCTAGGCAGTGGTTGTCAATGGATCTGCATCAATATTTCACTCTCTCCAGCAGTTTTTCCGGTGAGGTACAGCACTTTTATTCACTCTCTTTCTATGCTTATGGGGTAAGTATAGTAAGAAATGGCTGGGATAATTAAAGAAGAAGAAATTATGAATTCTCCAAGTTAATTATATCCATTCCTTTGCATCCAATATACCCATATATCAGAACACAACAAAATAGCCTGATTTTTTTAACCCAATAGCAGAGATAGAAAATTAGTAACTCACTTCATTTCAGGCCAATAGGCAAGGAAATGCCCAGATCAAGGGAAAAAAAAGGTACAGCTTTACTGCTACGTGTTCTCCTGTTTACTCCCAACCCTTAAAGCCAGCCCAGAAACTGCAGATCATGTAGGTTCCTTGTAATAGTCTTCCAGGTCTGCATCATGCTTACGTGGCCTAGCGTGATCTCGATCCCTAGCAAAATAAGTACAAAATCATCCAACAGCCAGATTCTAAATTTCTGAGAGAGTGGACCTGGTCCAAAGCCTTTACCATCGTTAACAATGCATTTTAAAAGCACAAGCAACTGTCCTGCCAATTCTATAAAGTTATATACTGCTGGCCCTACTCTATCATCTGCGACAAAAGGATATTCTACTTTCACATCTAATGTGACCATCCAACAGCAGTCACACATGAGCACAAGGTTTTCATTATTTTTTTTTTTTTTTAAACAGAGCTCTAGATATTGTAAAGCAAATGGGTAAGCCAGAAAATACATACCTGTCGATAGTACTTCTCATACACAGGGTTTGCACTTGATAGCTGTGAAGAAAGAAAGGTAAAGAAGTATGACTAAAATGCATAATTATCCATCTAGTTTACTTATATGATCAAGTTGCATTAATTTAAATAGTAAGGCAATATAATAGCAGTTTTTTATAAAGTTTTTTTTTCAAAAGACTATGAGGATCACACAATTCTGTAATATTATAGACCATGCATAATGATATTAGATGGGACAACATAATAAGAACTATAAAATTGTCTCCAACTGATCAGAATTATTAATTTCCATATTTCATAACTGTTCTTTACAAGACTTCTAGCTTCCTGCTCTGAAGTAACTGGTAGTGGCCACAATGAGCAACAGGCTAGCTAACTACATGGTACAAGTCAAGATAGGCGACTCTTAAAATTAATTAGAGTAATAAAAAGCCCAAAGTATGAATACAATTTGAATTCAATTATTCTTCCAGAATTAAGTGCTTGATATGAAACATAACAAAACATTAAAAGTCACTTCTGCCAAGAAAAAAAAAGTATTCAAGAATAAAATTAACTACAAAATTTGAGCCTGTCATCTGTTCCAGCATTCCAAAGACTTGTTTTCAATTTGCAACCTCATCTGTGAAATTGCCAGAAATCAAAAGCAATTACTACACTCAGATCTAACTAAATTGGTGTCATTACTGACAAAGTGCAATTAGGATTAGGTTCTTTCAGCATGGGTCCCTAATACCTGAGAAAGCTTTGCTTCCATATGCAACAAAAGCTTTATGAAAGTGGTGAGCTTAGGCACTCAAGCCACATTTAAACTTCAAGAGATAACAAAGCTTCTCATAGAAGGCCCTCAATTCACTTATTCAAATACTGGTTCAAAACATGTTTGCCTGAGGGACTAATCAGGAAGGCGTGGGCTGCAGGTTTTAGGGAACTGCCTTCTTTCTACCCTAATCAAAGAGGTAAAATTGTAGATTTCTTTTTTTTGAATGATGGGTTTGTTCCCTAAGCCATACAACTTGGGAACACCATGATAAGGTGGAATTCAAGCATTATCAATAGAATATATTGGGCTACCTTTGCTACATCTAACAGGGAGTGCTGACCACAATTAAATCTAGCACTTCAACACACTGATAAGGAGGGGAAAAAAACCACCACCACCTTCCTCTGAATACAAGCCAAAAACACTTTCCATTCCCTTTGATACAGAAATATGACTAATCATGAAAGCCTCTAAATACACATGAATAAGGATATGAATCCCAAAAACTATGTAAAAGTATAACATTGACTTCTAATTTCTGATTTAGGAAACTTATAATTTGCATGCAAAGATGGACATTGGCAATATTCCAGGTTTTATCCCAACTACCTCCAACAAGTAAACCAAAAAATGTCCTGGGGTATGACAGCAAAACCTTTAAAAAAAAAAAAATCATTGCTGACTGGGAGAGTCAGAAATTTCTGTACTGCAAACCTACTTGTTTACAAAGAAAATCCACAAAGTTTTTTCCTGACCACAGTAAAAAAACCCAGTGTCTTTCAAAAAATAGGTAGGTCTGTTGAAAACCTTTGGGTGAAGGTCAGAGAGGGAGAGCAGCACAGGGGGGATTGTCACGGTGGGTGCCTGCTGTAGGCCACCAAACCAGGGGGAGGTGGAGATCTCCTTTAAACAACTGACGGAAGTTTCCAAATCACAGGACTTGGCTCTCATGGGGCACTTTAATTATCAGGACATCTGCTGAGAAGGAAACACAGTAGTGAACGTGCAGTCCTGCAAATTCTGGGAGTGTGATGGAAATAACTTTTTGGTGCAGGTGATGGAGAGGCCGACTGGGGACAGGGGAACAGGGGAAAGCTCTTCTCAACGTACTGCTCATAAACAAGGAGCAATGGGTTGAGAACATGAAGGTGGAAGGTGACTAGGGTGACAGCAACCATGAAATGACAGCGTTCAAGACCCTAAGGGGAGGAGGGAAGAAAAGCATCAGAATAAAGACAATGGATTTCAAAAAAGCAAGCTTTAACAAACTCGGGGAACTGGTAGGCAGGATCCTCTGGAAGGCGAGTCTGAAGGGAAAAGGAGTCCAGGAGAGCTGGCTGCACTTTAAGGACGCCCTCTCAAGCGGGTAGAAGCAAGCTATCCCAATGCAAGAGTAGAATGGGAGGTGCAACAGGAGTCCAGCCTGGCTTGACAAGCATCTCTTCAATACGCTGAAACTCAAAAAGCAACACTACAAATAGTGGAAACTTGGTCATATTACAAGGGAAGTTTAAGCTTATCACACAGGTGTACAGGGAGAAAATTAAGGTCAAGGTATAAATGAAGATGCAAAAGGCAAGCGACCTAAAGAGCAACAAAGTATGTCAAAAGTATGTCAAAAGTAAGAGGAAGACCACATAACCCATAAGCCCCTTACAGAACTCAGAAGGCAACCTAGTTACAGATAATTCAGAAGAGACCAAAATATTTCATTCCTTTTTTACTTCAGCCTTCACAAATAAAATCAGCTACCAGATAACAAGTACAGCTGGCAGCAAAGACCACTGAGAGCCAGGTTAACCCCTCCGCAGCCCCACAGCCATCACAGAATTCAGAGTGTTGGATCCTTGCTTGGCATATAAAACTGCAGTGGTTTCAGGACCAAGAAAGGGTTAACTCGGTTCATAGCAGTGACATTTTTCTCGCAGCAGCTTCCTGTCGTCCCCCCCACCCCAACTCCTCCTGCAGCTGGACACTTGAGCCCCCTGCCTCTCTTCCAGGGTCCCAGGGCCCTAAAATAAATGCACTTGTGCAGCAAACAGATCCCTTTTAAAACCCTAAAATAATTTGAAAAGAAGAGCACATTCCAGAGAATAAGAAATTAAGCCTGCAAGGAAAAATTTTTCACTATTATAAGAGGACCCCCAAGCTGATTTAATGACAGTTTAAAATACATGGCAAATAAAGGTAAGAGATAAGAACTGGGATTCAGCAACCTAGCTTTGCAAAATACTGAACTGCTACAGGTCGGTCTCAGAGAACTGGTTGCCTTACCTTAACTTGTTCTACCAATACTGTATCCTACCTCCTTCTTCCACCCATGTTGCAGGTATTAAGAAGCATATATACTCATGTTGAAAACTCTTTATTGATAACAAGAATATCTAGGCATTCAGGAAGTAAAGCAGGCTGCTAAACAGCACCAAAAAACCCTTGTATTATGAGAAGATTATTTAAAAAGTCGACTTGTTTTTACCTAGCATAATGAAGGCTGACAGAGGATGACTGCTCCATGTCAAATATATTAAGGTTGGAGATAAAGAACTTTTTAAGCTAAAGGACAATGTTGGAAGAAAAACAAATAGGTATAAATTGGCCATGAGCACACTGAGGCTGACAATAAAAAATATTTCTAACCATCAGAGGAATGATGATCCAGGACACTCTTCAAACAATAGTACGCAGGCAAAAAAAACCCTATTCTTAAGATGGAGCTTGATGAGTTTCTGGAAGAGGCAACGTGACACATCTACTGACTATAGCAAGGGATTGGACTAGATGATACAGGTGTCCCCTGCCTGTCCTGTTACTAAAGTAATCTTCACTTAAACACATTTGACATTTATTAATTGGACTAACACTAGTCTTATTTGTCAGTATTTTCACTGGAAGATTTTCCAGATTAAAGGTCCCTCTATGCTCCAAAGAGCATACAATGGTTGCGTGGTTAGTAAGCTTGTGCAAAGCAGCTAGTATTTGCTTCGGATTTGGCCGATTCATGGGCAAGTGATTTGATGCAGTGATTTGAATCACTGTCCCGAATCAATTCAGCTGAATCGGATTCAGAGATATGGCCGATAACGAATCGGCCTCTGAATCAAACAGGCCCCATCCCCAACCCCTGCTCTCCCAGCTCCATCAATGGCAGCCCCACCCAGCCCCATCATCTCAGCTCTTTAAAAAAAAAGGTCCACACTCACCAGCAGCTGCCAGGTGTGAGGGCAATCCCTGCTGCCCCCCACTGCCCTGTGCTGCGTGGCAGGCTCTGCCACAAACCCCCAGGACCCCCGACAGCTGCAGCAGCAGCCGGTGAGCGTGGGGCTTTTTTTTTTTTATTATTATTAAAAGAGACTGGACACTGGGGCCAGGCGGGGCAGCCATTGACAGGACTGGGAGAACGGGTGGGGGTCAGGGGTGCCCAGGAGGGATGGGGGCATAGGCAGGGGATGGGGCCTGGCAGGGAACCCCCCATGGTCCCCTCCCAACTCCTCTAGCCCTCCTCCACCCCTTACTTACTGGCACAGAGTGCAGGTCCAGCTCCCTGCAGCGGCTAACAGGGGCTGACTGAATCTCTGAAGCTCTCCAAATTGATTTGAAACTATGAAACTATGATTTGGAGAGCTTCGAATCAATTCAGACTTCTTTATTGGTTTCCCGATTTGATTTGGATTCAAAGATTTGGCTGCTGAATCGGGCCAAATCTCCTCCGAATCAAATCAGCACCCAAAGCTTTGCATAGCCCTAATGATTAGATGCTATACAAATTAGACTCTACTGAAGTTAAACAAACTACTTTCATCGCCATGAAGAGTTCTAGCCTTACTATTTGCTCCCCCTAGTAAAAGTCAGATTGTACATTTGAGGCTAGAAGCTTTAAACGTTGTGGACCCAACTCTTGGAAAGAGAGTTGCAACAGATAAGACTGCAAAGAGTGACGACGAGGAATCAAAACCAACACAAATAAGTGATTGAAGAAAATTCTGTATAAATACAAGGTTTTGCCCTGAAATGTAGAAAAACAGGGCTGGAAAGAAACTCAGGAGGCCTTCTAGTCCAGCCCCCTGCTCAAGGCAGGATCATCCCTGAAGGTAATGATTACATCAGTACTATGAAAAACACCAAGAAAATATGCTTATTTAATGACAAACTTTAAAATATGAAGAGGGAATTATTTTGTTTTCTGTGCCCCACTATTTCAGGGGCGGAGGGGAAGTAAGGTTGGAATTCAGACCATTCTTTTGGGACTGAATTTAACAGTTCCTTATTAAAGCAAGTTTTTACTCAAACACCACCTCAAGTTTCTCCCCAGCTACCTCATTAGATTTAAACTGACTCAAGGAATTAAACACATTGCACGTTGGTGGGTATTATAGTAAATTTTCTTTAAAACTTAATGTTTTTAGAAAGTTAATTTATTAGGAATTTTCTTTATTCCTTAATCTGCTAAAAAGTGGCACCATGTCAAAAGACTTTATACACCGTTTTATTAATTTCCATAGGCTTGCTGAGAACTTGCCTATTTGTGCAGTAATGTTCAGACACTAATGGTCAACCCCTCACTAGTAGGGGATTCAGAAATGTTTAGAGAAGTATCAAATGACTAGTTACTGTTAAACATAAGTGAATATTGAATAGCTGTAGTTCATATTAAAACATTTCCCAGACAAAGGATCTTTAGTTTGATACAGCAACTTCTTGAAATGATGCCTGCTTTAAGACTTAACACATGACTGTCAGAATGACTAAATGTAAGCCTAGGTGCTGTATGTGTGTCAAGTCAACTCAATATTTGACAATAATCTAAACATATCCCTCAGCTATCTCATTTGTGTCAAATCCACAGACACGCTAACCCAGACAGGCAAGCAGCCACACTGAAGTTGCAAACAAAAAACTGAACAAAACTGGCTGGCGAGCGTGAAGAACAAAACAATACAATTGCAAGTGCTTGGAGGCTTCATCTTAAATTTGTCACCCCTGTTCTCTCCCATCTCCATCCCATCCCCCAAGACAGGGACCATTGTTTTGTAGATCATCTAAATGGCAGATTAATGTCATCCAGTTGTTCAGCCAACCTCTATTCCAGCCAAATTTATCATTGCAACTCTTGGACAGGAAACACATGCACAACACTCAGATCCCGGAGCTACAGCATTTTACAAATGCAAAACAATCTTTTCATTCAACACCCATTATATAAGCCAATTTAAAAAAAACTCTTTAAAAAAGAAAAAGAAAAAAACATCCAATTTTGAGGACTCCTATTCATTGTAACTTTAGTATCACTGCAATAAATAGAATTTCCTCTGAAACTTGGTAGTTTGGAAGATTTAAATTAACTTACTAGTTTGAGACTTCATGGTTTTTGCCACAGAAAGAACACTGAGCAAGAAGATTAGCACAGGGGAAATAACCTGACAAGGTTTTGACATGCATCAGCGTAACAAGAATACGATGAATTCCATAGTGACACTTAGGAATTTCATCAGGTAACACGGTGCGTCTCCACGTTACTAGAACAATCACAGCTGCTGACTAGGAACGGTGGAGTTGTTTGCAGCGCGAGAGGAAGTGCGGAGAGGTTACATTCCACTGCGTTCAACAAACTAAAACACAGAATTACAAGTTCCATTTAAAGAAACAGATTATGTCAGGAGATTAAAATCTGTTCTAGTATTTATCCTGTAAAGCAGAGGTGTCAAATGCACAGCCCATGAGCTGGCAGCCATGTAATTTTGCCCTGGGGGCTCGTAGAGGGATGGAGAATTCAGGGACAGGGCTCACTCCTGAAATCTGGGGCACAGAACCGCGCTGCGGAGGGGGCTGAATGATGGCTATGTTACCCACTGTGCTAACGCTCACCCCATCTCTGCCACCACATCCAGATCTGACTGCAGAGAGCCCCAGAGTCTGGATCCAGCACAGGGCAAGGTGAGTTTGACACCCCTGCTCCAGAGCAAGTACTGAGTGGAGAGTGTGTGGGCCCTTCAATTCTAACACAAGACACAGAAATCAGCTTTATGTCTGCCTCTTCCTTTCTCCCCTTTTGATAGTAGTTATCCCTTGCAAGTTTTTGTCCCTTCCATTCACTCCCACTGTTATGTCCTGGCATAAATTTATGCTATTTCAAACTTACAAAAGGAAACTTACACAACACTTCTCAGAGACGAGCCTATGAACTCCACTTCATCAACCTCCCGGATACAAAAAATCACGGACTAAACATAGACATTGGATTTATGACACATTATAACCTGCCTGACATCTGACTCCCCAGGTATCTCTCCACTTTCATCCCCCTTCTCTCTCTCTCTCCCCCACCTCCTGTCTCTTACCCATTGACTCCTCAATCTACATTTTCACTGACTACCTGTCTTGTATGCATACCAGCACAGCCGCTGGCTTCTTTACTTCTCATTCCATCCAGGAAGAGCACACACCAACTGCTGAAACTTCCTTAGCCTGACGAAGGGTTTTTGAACCCGAAAGCTTGCTTAATAACTATTCTCCAACTATTTGGGTTGGTCTAATAAAAGATATCAGATTCACCCAAGGAACCTTGTCTGCTGTTTCAAACAGCCTTCTCCTCCGCTCCTGCTTCTCCTAGTTAACAAAGTAAATGAGCAAGACTATCATCTACCTAGAAAGGGAGAAGAAAGCAATCCAAAAACATTAATATTTTAGTTTCTTCCACCCATCTGAATGGAAGGATAGATCGTAGACAGTGTGTGTGAAGCTGTGACAGATTAAATACTAGTGTGCTCAGGCCCATGTCATTCTGAAAGTGCATATTCCAGAAATGACCCAAGTCTTCATAGTAAAACCATCTCCATCCTTTCCCCACCCAAGCTCTTCTGCGGCACTATAATTACATATAAGGAAGGGACTGGATGCATTTTATTATTATTTTGTTAAACCTTTCAGTGTCTGCCTTCTTCTGGCCCATTCTGGTTCACAATACAGTAGTGAACCATTTAAGCACAGCAGTATATCAAGATGGGCTCACTGATATAATTAAATAAAGAGATAAATGGGGGGGGGAGGGGGATCACCCATAATTAGTCAAAAATTTAAAAAATGTATTTCAAAGCTTCAACATTTCTAGCGGCAGTCTCTTTTCAAACGTTGCACAGGTTTACAGAAACAGAATGAAACAGCTAATATGGGGAGGCAGGGAGGACTATTGAGGCAACTTCTCTCTCTCTTTTTTATTGTTTTGCTGCTTGGTTAAAGCGTTGAGGGAAATATTTCCCCCAGCTTCCCCTACACTATTCCACAGCCAAGTACATCTCAGTTTCAGGAAGTTGTTCTTGATGTTCAGCCTAGTTTCCCCTGGCAAATATCATCCAGTTAAAACTAACAGGGCCCCCTTTTATTCCTCTACGTCCTTTACATATTTTTACAGTGTTCTCTGGTCCTTTACCAAGATCATGCTTTTTAAATATTTGAATTTCTCTTATAGTTCTTCACTATAAATTCTTCCAATTTGTCATAATTGTTTGGGTTCAGCACCGCAATATTTAAAAGTACGCAAGCACCGCAAGTTACTCCATGACCCAACACACGCAACAAAAAAATCTGACTGGTTATCACTGATGTCTCATTAACTCCTATCTAGTTGCTGCCCACTATCACCTCAAGGGCTTTGTCTACATTAGAAAAATTTGTATGGATTTTTTGCACCAATTAACCCCTATAGCAATAACAAGGGGATCATAAGCTATAAGCAGGGGAAGGCATTTTCTTCTCTCCTGTCCCCTGAAGTGTTTAACCCTGCACAGACAAATTATGTGTTTTCCAGAACTTTTTCCTCTCCAATCTAATATGCATCTCAGAGTTTCACTGAAATTTTCCAAGATCTCATTTTCATTGGGGTCTTTTCATCTCTCCCATAATTATGCTATCTACAAAACACTAAAATAAAGTTTTCCAGTGGACTCCTCTTGTAGGCCAGAGAGTTTTCCCAACAGCAAAAAAACAATAAAAACTTTGTTCTGAACAAAATGTCCTATACCCTAGAACACCGAGTGAACATGCACACATTTAACACGCGCCCTTTTACTGTACTTCACTAACAGCTCAACTGTATACTCACTGAAATAGTTAAGATTTTTTA